AGACAAGAATGGGCAGACCTGACTGTCCATCAGAAAAATACATGTGTATATATATATAATTGATTTCTTGCAGAAATGAGTTTGGAAATGCACAGGCATACAGACATTGTGCCCAGGTTGAAAATGTTGATTTAAACTAAAAGAATTATCTCAGAACCGGGAACATGAAGTTGACCAGCTGAATCATTTCTCAGAGCACAGCAGAATGGGCAGAGGTCTTAATAACATTTACTTCTTGCTGAAAGACACATCGGTTATTTGGTCCTGCTTTTGCTTGATGAGTTTAAGGATCTTGTGGCATAATACAGCCACGTGTTGACTCCAGCTGGGGTAGTTTGGGGACGCTGTGTGTATCAATTATGTTGTCCTCTATATTTTGTAAAAGAAGATGTGCATGTCTAGGGAGGTCACAGAATCACAGAATGGTTTGAGTTGGAAGGGACCATAAAGATCTATTTCCAAACCCCTGCCATGGGCAGGAAACCCCATGACAACCACGATGCCAAAATCCCATTATTTTTTTTTTATTTTTTTTTTTTTTCTTCATGGAAACAATAGAATCATTTAGGTTAGAGAAGACCCATAAAATCATCGTCCAACCATATGAATACGAGTAACACCAGGATATCTCCACTATTTGAAGAAAATGGAACAGAAATTGTCAATGCACAAAAAAATGCCATTGAAATGAAGCAGCTTGGCACACCACCACTCTCAGCTAGACCGTGGATTAAATTGCATAGGTATACAGAGCTCCAGCTCAGTATGTAAACTCTCCCATAACGCTGTACCCACCAGTGTCCTTTCCCTGTGCCAAAGACGCTTGCAAGGACTGAAGTTTGGCAATTCTCCACCCCAAAATCACAGGGGAATGGGGGTGAAAGAAGAGCAGGAGTTGGCTACTGTCCTGGATGGAGAAAAAAGCTCCAGGATCTGAAGGAGCAGATTCGGTGGTGTTGCTCTTAAATGCAAAAGACAACAGGATCAGCAGGGGGGATGGTGAAGGCAACACGGAGCAATTATGTTCTGTGAGTTTTGCCCTGCAGAGCTTACCCAGGTGGACAGACTCATTAACAACAATTAACATCCCATATCCAGGCATAGCTTGTAAAAGTACAAGGGCAATCGCTGCCGCAAAGCTGAAGTAACATTTAAAGTCAGTCTTAGTGCACGTCCAAGCCAAACAAACCAGATCTGAGTTTCTGCAGATGCTCAGTAGTCTCGTGTGCTGTTTCTGGGCAACAGGGAGACCGCTACACAAACAGCCTTCCACCAGCTCCAGCGGGGCGAAACTGTGCTTTAGTCAAACCCTTGCTGAATGGTGCCTAATTGCATTCTAGCTCCCTGCTTATTTATGATTTTGCATTAGGTGACCCTCTTTTTCAGTGCAGCTTTGCATGGTGAACATCAAAGGGAGGGTCAGGAGTTACTGGAGATTTCTTATCTCGTAGCCAACACGATTTCCTAATCAGCACACATCTGCCTTGCATTTTGTGAATTTTAGCATGTTGAAATCATTGCAGCTCCAAAAAGCTTTTCTGGAGCCTGCTCGGTTGGTATACACTCAGTTTCGTGCCCTGGTCCTCCAAATGTTCAAGTACTTGAGTTACTTTGCACATCTGAACAGTCCCATTGACCCAGTGGGAATATCTGAGTGGGTAAGTGTCTGCAAGATCCAGACCCTACATCTGAAGTGAGGCTGAAAAGCATAAGCCGAAAGGTCAGAGAGAAGGAAGGACATGATAAAAACAGACTAAGCAGTGAACAACCTCAGGCTGTGAAATCAGGTGTTACTATTTAACTTCTCATAATAAAACAATAAGGAACTTCTTGTAGCACAGGTAAGATAACAAACTGAGAAATGACAGAAGGAAATACTAGTGTTTAAACAAGGCATGTCATTCTCCTGCGCAGCTCTCGATCACAAAAAGTAATTCATGCTGGAAATTAATCAAAAAATGCAACAAGGGAACTATTGTACTTCTTCCTAGCTGTGGAAGAATCAGACTTGCATAGGGTGATTATGCAAGGAAAAAGGTACAGCAGCAACCATGGGACAATTCCTCAGCACAGACTGGAAAATGTTCCCAAATTGACTGACACTGATTTTAGACTCTGGCTAATATCTACCACAGATTAAAAATGAAAGATTGTAAAAATGATGGTTGGATGGGGGAGAACAGTGGCAGCTGGGAAAAAGTTTACACCCTTTGGGCTGAAATGTATTTTGGGGCAGAGAATTATGTTTTGATGTATTTGTACAGCACCCCTGCATCCTATTACCGAGAATTATTATTAAGCCAGGAAAGTCTGGTTAAACAAATATCATTTTTTTTTGCAAATAATACCATTGGAGATCCCCGTGCTTAGGTGTACCACTACTCATTCAGGGTTTAAACTGAGTTACTGGGATTAGAGACACAGCAAAAAAAGCCCTTCCATTAACCTAGGCAGCCTGATGTGAGATGTAAGCCTGACTCTCTTGACTGACTGGTCTCAGTTTTGGCATTGTGCCCCTATCTGAGTAAATGTGACTCACTAGTACACTAGTATTCTACAAAAAGACAGCTTTCTGGCTATGGGGTGATCAGCATTAACTAGTTGACCCATGGTAATCCTTTCCACTCACCCCCCATTACAGCGAGACACTAGGGATGAGATGTAAATGTGCTGAAGCAACACTAGCAGCAAACCCTGCACAAGTCCCCTATAACTCACACATCCCCAAACTGCAGCATGCTGAATTAAAATAAAATAATTAAAAAAAAAAAACAAACAACACTTTCTCCCTCACCCTCACACCAATCCGAGTGACTGCTGCAATAGCGGCACGGAGGAGTTAATGATGAATGTGCCTTTGGATGGAGTTGGAGGCTTTTTTGTGCCATCGCCGTGCGAGCGCTGTCGGGCTGGGGCTGGTGAGTGCAACCAGAGCCACAGCTCCCGGCACATGCAGTGGAAGCAGAGCTAGATGGCAATGTGGAAAGCAGCAGCTTTTCAGTGGGAAAAATGCCTGTTAGTCTCAGCTGAAATGCTTTGCAACAGCTCTCAGGTTTTAACGAACACCTGGGGAAGGGCTAGGGAATTTGGGGGGGCCCTTGGACAGCCCCACAGGGTTGCTGTTTGCTGATGGCACTTGCAATGTGAGGCTGCAAAATAGGACGCAAAAAGCTACTTCAGAATCCAAAATATCCCCACGAATAAATGTTGTGCCTAAGCAAAAAGTAGCAAACTGAGCAAGAAACCCACCTCTCCTCTGACACCAGAGATTTACTGACACATTTAAGCATCATGGACAGAATGCAGTGAGTAAAATTATTATTTTTATTTTTATTTTTTTCCCCAGAGGAGTCCTTGTCCACATGAATTCATGGCAGCACCAGGTTTAGGCAAAAAACTGCCAGTTTCTGTGCATTACCACAGATTTTCATAGACTTTGTCAACACACCCAAATATTGGCAACTTATATGTTATCCCTTCATGTATTTTTACTGTATGTTTTTCTTTTTAAACACCAGTATATTATTCCTGAAGGACATACTGTCACTTAACTATTTAAAAGCATAATGTACCCCCACATACACATTTCTCTCACATATTCCCACATTGTCTGAGATACTTCTTAGACTACTTAATCTTTCACTTAAACTCTCAATTACTTTATCAACACACTATCTCAGACATGTCTGGGTGTCTGAAAAGTAGCATTTTAAATTAGGACACCTGAGTGTTGTTTTTCTTTTTTTTTTTTTCCCCTTTGAGCTCTCCCACTGCTTTCTGTAAGGTGCTGGGCAACTCACTGTAACTTTTTGTACCTCTTTTTCATCTGTTTTGTCTCAAATAATTTCCTTCTCAAAATGTTAGTGTGTGACTAAATTCATTAGCTTCCTTTTGGGTGATGAAATGTAAACTATTATCGCTTATTGAGCCTAGTAATCAAAGATAATTTGAATATAATGTGGCCTCAAAATTAATAGCCCTGAAACAAATAAGAATAACAGACTCTAAGGAAAATTACCAAAATAGGAGCACAGCAGGCTTTCTTTAAATGTGTCTTTAAAAATAAATTGCATATTAATAATCCTATTATTCAATGGGAAAAAAGAGTATCTTTCCATGTTTATGACATACTCTGGAAAAGTCACATTCTTTTTTAATATTACTTCTCACAAATCACTTCGCTTTAATGATGAGATACTGTAGACTTCATCTCACATTTAAATAAATATGTTTATTTCATCCTGGTGAGAGATATTATTTTAATGTTAAGATTATAATTTCTTACAAGCTTGTCATAAAACAACACGAGCTCTGGCAAATGGAAATACATACCATCCCCCCTGGTATGTTTAAAAATTAAGTGTTTAAGTGGTTTTTTTTTGTGTGTGGTTGTCTTTTTTCTTTTTTTTTTTTCTTCCAGCACTGAAAAATATTTATTTATTCTGACACAGGAGCAAAGGACAGCGATCAGGGACACTAAAGCTAACTACTGCCTGAAGTCATAAACATCTGGTGGCTATTTTAATTGCATTGTGAACTAACCACAAAATCCTCCACTAAAAGAATAGAAATATTTCCCCTGTGCACTATCGTATTTTAGAATTCCTCTCTTCTGAATCAATGTCAGACATGATTACAGCACAATGAAGCCTGTGTTCTCATGCCTGCATCTTCCTGAAAATGCTCTATAGCCTTATTGCAATTACAGTGTTACTCAAAGAACCGCGTACTCTCGGCAGGGAGAGGGTTCAGGTTGTTGCCGCAAACACGGACTGCGAGATAAACATTGTGCTTACTGCATGGATATTTTTTTGTAAAGAAGGTAAATAGATTAGTATGTATACAAGATATTAGAAAGCACACATACTCACACAAGCGCTCAACTTCAAGTATATACAAATGCATATATACATGTATTTATACAGACATACAGCTATTCATACATATATATGCATATATACACATATAGGATGCATTTAGTAAGTAGTAATACAACCTACCTACATGTGAATAGAAATTGTTGTTAATAAAATACTTGCATGAGTTGTACAGGGACCTTCTAAATGTCTGTGCTTCCTGGGGAGACCAAATGACCTCTTTTTTACAGATACTAAGATCAAAGCTCTTGGTTTAGATACTCCAGCTGTCTCTCCCGTTGGCATTTGACATGCAACCCAGTCCATTTAAAATCAGGGGGCATGTAAACATTTTAACCCTTGGCAGCAGTATCTAAGAAAGATGCTAGCAATAAATGGTCATAACTGCCTGGGCCAAATCACATTTGGTGTCCTTCCTTTGAAGTCCATGCAGTCACTGTACCCTATGGTTTTGACAACAAGCCAAGTCCAAAAAAAGTAGGTAGGCTCCCGAAGCCGGCTGGACATGGATTTTGGGATCCGGAGTGGCTCCTTGCAGCTGAATGCTTGGTTGGCTCCCAGCTTGCCGCAGGCTTGTTGCCCAACCTTGGAAGGTCTTTGAATGCCCACAGCTCAGCTTCGATGCCAGTGCCTCCATCACCCCGCCTCAACTGGCAATTTTTGGCCTAAGCACAGGGACACCATCATCCCTTGTGAGACCTTCTTTGGTGGGTGTGCACATGGGTCACACATGCTGACGGGATTAGACCTTGCATTTAATACAGTGACAGGTATTTTCTTTTTTCTTTCTTTATTTATTTTTCAATCGTTGCCACAGGAGGGTGCCATTTTTCTGCTTAAGTCCCAGTTGGCCAGGTGCCTTGCTCAGAACCAAGTCACGGGTTCAAATCCCTCTTGAGATCCCTCATGTCGCTGAAGGGCAGGAGATGATGGATGTGTGCCCACATGGGGCAATGCCCTTGTCCTTCCTACCAAAGTCAAGCCAGGTCCCTAAGGACAGTCAAGCAAGCACTGTCAAAATAAGCCTGTGGGTGAAAGTCCTCCTTCTGGAGAGGACTTCAGGTCCCCACTGGCAGGTTTATTTCTTTCACACTTTTGGAAGAGAGAGAACAATGGAAAACCAGCACCCTTCTCTCCTCCAGAAACTGAGTCTCTTACTCTTCAGTCTTTGAAGAAACCATGGTGAAGCAACAGAGTCCCATCCCATTTGCCTCCTAAGCCTGGTGACCATGGTCTGCAGAAGGGATGAGCAGCATACCCAGATAAATATGTCCCATAGGCTTGTGTGTGGCCTAAATACAGAGAGCCCGGGCACTTGACTTGAGCTTCCACTTCCATTTGGGGTCCATGTGCTTAAACACTTTGCCCTTAAAACACTGAAGTGCCCAAAATGCCCCAGGGCACCTATGCACAAGCCATCTGTGGATGTGACACTGGTTATCAGAGGGGAAGAGCAGATACATGGCACAGACGCCTCTTATGGGGCAATGTGCTTGACACCACTCAATGCATGTGTGGAAGAGGAGAGGGGCACTGCAAACCTGGGTGCATCCTTCCCAGAGACACCATCATTGTAAGGTGGGTGCTGCAAAGCCACCTCTGGTGCTGGTCACCTGGATGTTGAGTGGGAAACCATGGACATGGCTGTGCTGGAGGGAGATGGTTCCTGGGGAGAGATGTGAGGACCCATTTCCTGCTTGGAGAACAGTTGAAAAGGGCAGAAACCTAGGAATTTCCCTTCTCCAACCAGGTATGAGCCCAAAAAACAGTTTCAGGCTCTGCACTCCCTTTTCCTGCCACACTCAACTGGGTGCTTAGTGTCTGCAAAAGGCTGAGTTTCAGGCACATTCTCCTCCTTGCTCCTCCTGGACAGCCATTTTCCTCCAGGGCATCCATTTTGTAGAGGATTTGTCTGCCCATGCCCAGACAGGGCACAGCTTCCTGCTATCTATGGGCAAATGTAGCTAAACACAGCCCATTTATGGAGTAATTCCTGAGTCCCAGACCCCTTAGGGCCAGCTCTTTGTACCCATGCTGCTGTCCTTCCTGATCTTGCCTTCAGTGGGTCCTCCACGGTGGGAGTCATGTGTGGCTCCTCATAGCATGCCCAGTGCCATTCGGGCTGTGCTGTTTCCTCCACTGTTAAACTTAAAGGTAATCCAAAATCTTGCTCAGAGATAGCTTAGTAATATTTAATATATATCAATTTCAATAAACTTACAACCCTTTGAGTGTTTAAAGGCAGTAGCAGGCACTATCAACTGCAAATAAAGTTTTTATTGGCATTGTAAGCACTGAAGAATGTATTAGCATTCAACATCTATTGTCAATAATTGTGCAAGTATTTTACACCAACAAAGATCTCAGTGAACATGATCTAGGGAAGTCATTGAAAGGGAAAATTATAAAATAATGCTAACTTCTGTTCCCCCCCCCCCCCCCTCCCATTATTCTTATAGAACTGCACCTATTAATTTGTCTTGCTAAATGTGTCCCTTCTATATGTTCCCACTAACTCATAATTTACTGTCTTAATATTCTTTTAAAAGTTATGCTTGTAAAAAAAAATAAAAATATATATATAAAATAATATGACTACACCATTTCAGAGTTCAAAAAATACACTTATGGTATGATTTGGTTGTTGTTAACTGACTGTAATTGTATCACTGCATTTATTTCCACTTTCAGATGATATTACAGAAAATTAGCATGCCAGGATTTCCTAATAGTGCGAACGTTGGTGGAAATATTAAAACAAACCTTATCCTGACTTTCTGTAATTAATGCAGCGTTGTCCACAAAGGGCTGTAGTCAATAAATTCAAGAAATCAGCATAACTTCTGTGAAATTGGTGCTGCTCAAGAATTGCTACCTAACCAGAAAGACTGAAACCTGGATTCCAAGCGTACCAGTCCTGCACTTTGCTATCAATTGCTGATATGGATCACTGGTCACAGCTCTAATTGACTGATTACACAAAAGCACTTTGCAAAATCAAGACTAAGCCTCTGCAAAGTATGAGCTGCAGTTCCTAGTGACTGGCTCCAACAGAGCTTCAAAGTTTGCATAGAGCCACCAAAATTGAATTTGCTGACTTAAAAGCAAAACTTGGGGGATTTGCTCTGGACATTTACAGAGACTGAAGGAATAATGAATAGAACTGGAACAGCCAGATGAAACAGTGATTGCCAGGGTATAAATTGAGCAGCAGCAGTATTTAAAAATGTGTTTTGTGTCTGGCTTGAAGTGAAAAAAGGATTTAGATCAGAACTGATGTTAAGGTTGGAAGATCAGCTTTTGATTTGCCGATAGCAAAAGTTAGATGAATTTGGGGAAAATATGATAGCACAAACTAGCATGCCTCTGAAATATGATTTCACTGATGGGGCTGTGAGCTTGTTTTCCTTTTACCTATTTCAAAACTAATTAAATTAACTGGTACCATGTCTACCTATTTACACTGTAATCTCAAATCTAATTCTGCACATGGCCTTGAGACATCTTTTCGTCTGTTGCCTTGAAAACAGGAAGAAAAGCAGAGACGGAGAAAGGAAAGCATAATCAAAATGCCTGGTAGTAACTAAAGATCTGAATATGAAACTGCTTCGTTGTCAGAATTATTTAGAAACAAGCCATCTCACTTGCAGTGAGCATTATGATCTCACGTGGCAAACAGTGGAATATCAGATCAGGAGAGCAGAATTTATGTAACAAATTAGTCAAATCAAACATAATAAGATTTTGTGTTCTCTTTCTGCAGCACCACATTATCCATTTCACGAAGTCTAGAGTATGTTTAAAAAGACCTTCACAGTTTTCATGGACATTTCAGCAGCCCAAGAACAGAAGCCATTATAACAGTGCAACCTAATAAATTCTACCAAACTAGTGGGGTTTTCTTCTTCATTTGAAATTCAGAGAGGAGATAAATGAGTTAAAATAAGAAGGAGGAAAATTACCTTCCTGTAAATCTTTGCCAACTTCTAGTTTATAGAAAAAGACAAATGTAATTTGGGACAGCAGATTTGTATTAAAAAGTGACCCTTTACAACTGGAATGTCCATAATGGGTGGCAGTTGAAAGATCTGTTTTATAACCCTGTCACTTCTTTAACAGCCTCGCATGCAATAATTTCTGCATTCAATTTCCTGTACATGTGTACGACAGCTTGCCCAAGGGAATTGGGTTCCCCTTCAGTCCTCCTTCTTTTTCTGAGCATTTGTGATTTCTAGCTGCTGGAGGAGGAGGGAGAAAAAGGCCCATAAAAAACAACACTTACTGTATTTACAAAGCGGTGAAGAAGTTTGCATTCTTTGCTTCTAGTGAAATGGAAAAGGTCATGGCCTGATCCCAACAGGCTGAGCCACAGCTCTGCCTTCTGAAGGGCAGGCTCTTCTTGCCGGGACAGCCAAGCTGCCTCTCCTGGCAGCTGTCGGGTCGGGATGCAAAATGCAGAATTCCCCTTTCCACTTCCATCCCTTCGATTTGGCAAAGATGCCTGGGAAAGGGAAAGGGTTAATCCCAGCTTGCAGCTAGTGGAGATAGTCCTGAGCTGGCTATGACAAGGGGTGGTAAAGATGTCATCCGGTTTTAATATTAATCATCTTCACAGTAGTCCTGGGCTGTCATGGCATACACTGTTTAACTCACAATTTATTATTTGGCATGGGAAATCATAAGGAAATCCTTTACTTAACAATGAAAAGTGCTTTCAGCCCATTTGATAGCTGACACTTCCTTGTCTATTGTTGTTGGGTTTGATGCGGGAATGGCTGGAGGGAATTGGTAGTCCAGGCTATGCCCAGAGGACTGCCCAGACAACTGATTAATCTCCTCTGGCTGTGTAATTCATTTAGAGTAATAAAAATAAACCAGCTATTGAACTACATACGGAAATTTTACACGCTTGGTTATCTCTGCTAACTAATGCTCCAGGCTTTTAGGGCTGGCTTTGGGCAGATAAGGAGCCTCATTGCTTTCTGGAAAACCCATTTATGCCCAGCGCTGGCATAAATGAGCATCAGCCTCACCATTGTCGGGGCTTTGAAGGGACGTGTCATGCAGCCCTCGTGGACCTGAGGTCATCTGTCTTGTGGTGCATGAGAGTACTCCCACCTCACCTCTGGCAGTCATTCCAGTTTGTGAACGTAGGTCATCTATATTTAAAGTATGCCCATGTATATAGCTCCATATCTATACTCATTACATCTATAATATTTACCAGCCTTGAGTGTTACACTGGTGTTAAGGCTTTGAACTAAGACCAGATCTGGTTTTGGTTTTGTAGCAGACATTTCCCTGTTTTTGGCATAGTGATGTGCTTCTTGAGCTGTTTAACACCCCTTTGCCATTTTGGTGGTGAGGAAGTTCTCTGGAAAACCTAAGTATTGCACTGCAAAGGACTCGCAGGTGTATTTGGAGCACAGATGGTGGTAATAGCTCCAGAAAATTAAATCTACTTTTTTATTTGTTAGTTTGTTTGCTTCGCTGTTTCTTTCAACAAACAGTAACCACATTAGAAATCATTTGGCCAGGCAATGCTGCTTGCTGCACCCAAATATAATAAGAAATGCAACAAAGCAGTCAAGATATTAATCAATTTTTCCAATTCCTTTAAAAACACCAAGTGATGTGGCAAAATAAACTCTCATCTGGATAATTTTTGTTGACACAGTAGCGCACATCGCCTAGAGAGGCTGCCACCTTTGATTTGTTTCATCCAGCAATGAGCTAAATGGGCCTTAGCTCTCTGGCGATATCATCAGCGAGAGCATTAGCATGGCTGCCGTGCCATTTATCTACTTTGCTTCATGACATGTCCTTCATCCTGCTGTCACAACTGATATTTCTGCAGCTGGAGACACTGAGTGTAGCAGCCTGGAGCAGGTACACCCACAGCAAGAAGGAGCTGGGAAGCAAAGGGTTGGACTGGGAAGCACGGCGGTAGACTCAGTGATTCTTGTGGATCCTTTCCAGCCTGGGATATATTGTGGTTCTGTAAAAGCACATCCTAAAAGGATAAAGAGGCTCCAGGCATGTCTGTAGGACCAGAGCACGAACCCAGCACGTCTGACAGCTGTAAAACCACACGAGACTCCTCTAGCTGGCTAATGCCCATTAGCTGCCTTCATTAGTACTCAAAGTCTTGGAACTCAGGGCATCATCCTTAACACTGCAAATGGTGTGTTTGACAACTGAAGCATGCAGATGTTATGGCCACCTCCTGAGTGCCTGAAATGTCATTTTGCTTTGCCCACTGTGTGATACATGCATGGCACCAGGCACATCATGCACCCAGAGGGACTTGGGACAGGGAGAATGACTTTGAGTCCTTCTTGGTGGCATGGCATCCCACCTTGTGAGTTGTCACCATGGAACAGGGCAAGAACGACCTGGCTCTTGGTGGTGGTGGTGTTGGAAGTTTTGCAAGGAAAGGAAGGGAGAGGAGAGGGAAGGAGGGAGGGAGGGAGGAGGGAGGGAGGAGGAGGAGGAAGAAGGAAGGAAGGAAGGAAGGAAGGAAGGAAGGAAGGAAGGAAGGAAGGAAGGAAGGAAGGAAGAAGAAGAAGAAGGAAGGAAGGAAGAAGGAAGGAAGGAAGAAGAAGGAAGGAAGGAAGGAAGGAGGAAGGAAGGAAGGAAGGAAGGAAGGAAGGAAGGAAGGAAGGAAGGAAGGAAGGAAGGAAGGAAGAAGGAAGGAAGAAAGAAAAGGAAAGAAAGGAAGAAAAAGAAGAAAGAAAGAAAGAAGAAAGAAAGAAGAAAGGAAAGAAAAAAGGAAAGAGAAAGAAGGAAAGAAGGAAAGAAGGAAAGAAGGAAAGAAGGAAAGAAGGAAAGAAGAAGAAAGAAAAAGAAAGAAAGAAAGAAAGAAAGAAAAGAAAGAAAGAAAGAAAGAAAAGAAAGAAAGAAAGAAAGAAAGAAAGAAAGAACGCGAGCCCGCCCGCCCGGCCTCCCCGCCCCCGCCCGCCCGGCCCGCACGGGAGGAAAAAAATCTTAATATATATATATTATTTTTTAAATCTGGAGCCTGAGATCTACAAATATATAGAGGACTCTATGTCCTGTTTAGGAAATCAGCAGGGATTAAAATGCCTGAGTAAGTGACAGGCACTAAATACCTTTGTGCTCCTAGGTAAAGTTACTGATACAAGGGATTGCCAGCACACCTATTCTGGGAAATTATTTATTCGGTTATTCTGAATTGTTACATTTTATTTTGGTTCTGGATACACCAGAACGGATGGCCTGCCCTTACCACAATAAATTAAACACTAATGTGCTTTGGAAAGTGATAGGGAGGGATGGTGGGGGCTTTAGCAGAGCTGAGTTTTCTTCATATTCATTCCCAAACTCTTTATATGTCTGCAGGCAAATCATCTTATTACCTTGAGTCTTTATTGCCTATGTGAAAAGTAAAAAAAATAATAATAATAATTCTTTCTCTGTAGTTCTGTGCTTTTCTACATTTTCTCTGTGCAAATACGATGTGTGGCAATATTAACAGGACTCCAATATTAGATGGCGATTCTAACACCATTACAATAGTAACTGTAGCCAACTCACATTAAACCACCATATATTTGATGTAGCAGCGACAGTTTCAGTTGAATTAGGCTAGAGAGAAATTTATCCAAGAGTCTTTAGCAGTGGTTTAAACATGAATGCCCTTTTCATGTAAAGCGATAGTTGGGAGGATTAAGATTGGGAGGTTAATCTTTCCTGATGGCTAACTCATTGTTTTCTCACAATTCCAAAATTCTTTGGTAAGAGACATGGTCTGGACAGCTCACCATTAGCAATTTTGGAATGGAAAGTTAACCGCAAAACAGTCAGAGCTGGATATCTTGCAAAACTCCCTCAAATACTGATTTCCTTCTGAGTCTTTCTTCTAGAGATGCCAGATACATTCCTATCCATGTCCAACAACTCTGTTTTCTGAAAAAGGAACGCTTACGCATACACACATATCCGCGCAGAGACACACACACACACTCAAAAGAGACAACTTAAAATCCCTGCCAAAGAACACGTATGCTGGAAAATATATTGATTAAGTAACATGTTTTCTTATCATCGGCTACGAAAGCTTACCCTTTGTAAGATAGGGCACTGCTCATAGGAGAGGCTAACTTCAAAGTTAATGTTAATTAATTAGTTGGAAATCTTTAATGGTTTTCTGTTGTTTTCTTTTTTCTTTTCTTTTTTTTTTTTTTTTTGAGATGGGACGTTATCCTGGCAGATATCTGGGACAGAAAGGAATCGTGCTGGTCTACCACCCCAGGAGGAGCAAGGCTTTCTGTCAGACAGCTGGTGGAAAGGAACAAGGGAAGGTGCCATGAATAATTTTTCACTTAAACCCCAATGTCTGGAATTCAAAATGAGATTTCTCGGCGCTATTCTAATACATACCTGGTATAAATCCACTTCGAACTTCCAATTGAAAATGCAGTCCTCAAGTCCAGCTATGTAACCAGCTAATGAAAGCTTTTGCTTCCGACAGACTTCTTCCTGGTCTGTCTGAAACAAGGCTGCAGCTCGGTGTGGTGTCTGTTGGGCATGCTGTCGGTCTGCATTCCCTTTGGGGCACTTTTGTTATGGGTTCATCATTTGGTGGTGGCATGGCCACAGCCTCAGAGTGAACCTTCTTCAGCAGGGATTCAAGCATATTCCCAGGCAAATGTAGACAGGTCTGGGTTTTTTAGGTACATCCTTCAAATATCAAGGGCCCAATGGCTTCAGGGCATCTTGTGCTCAGGGGCAACCCAGAGCAGAGGATGCTGCTCACGCAATTAGTTCAAACCATACGCAGAATGCAGTTATAGACAGGATTTACAAAACAGCTTTGTATTAGGCCAAACCTGCTCCCATGGCGATATCTGAGTGGTACATGCACATAAACGGAGCAAAGCTAGGCCAGCGAAGAGCGTTTTGGGGAGCTGCCAGAGTACACAGTTGTGGGATGACATTTCTCAGTCACGCCCCGAATTCTTATATTCTCCCATCCTGGTAGAAGTGAAAGTCCTGTTACTTGGAAATTATTAGTTGTGCTTCCAGTTCTTAAACAATTACTAAAGAGAGCTGTCTCGGGTTATTTATGGCACAGCTGCAATCAGAAAAATGGCCATAAAAGTGCCATTGGGGATAACTGGTTCGGCCTCTCTTCATGAGCAGCTTTCTTCACTCTATTTACAAACCAGGGGCGTTGTCAGCCTCACAAGTTCAAGCCAGGGAGATGAGATTTAAATGGGGTCATTTCTGGCTCAATAATCATTAGTAGTACTGAACTTTTTCAAGATAAAGTGTGCTCCATCTGGGTACTGATTTTTGTCAGTCGGACCAGAGCTTCCATCACATAAATTCTTTAAGGCCAACACTGCCAGCATTTATTTTTTTAAAGTATCTTATGGAAAAAGGCCTCAGAGGCATATTATATCGGAATTAAATGTTATTTTTGAATTAATGTGTTCCTGAATCAGTTAAACAATTTTGGCCAACCCCAAGCGTTACTGTCGTTAATAAATAACTAAATAACTAAATAACTTCAATTTACTGGCTAATTCATGCAGGACACCTTTAGATGAAGCAGTGACCAGATGTCCTCTGAGACTAGTGGAGAGAGAGAGAAAACACAGGAGAGAAAAATATCTGAATACTCAACTAGGAAATCCAGATTTGGAGGGGAAAGGATTCTGTGCCATACAATTTTGGTTATTGTGAGTTTGGGACTGAATAGTATCATTATTTTTTATAGTGCTATAAAACAAAAAAACTCTTTTTAAGGAATCCAGTTCTAGCTGTCCCTTTTGGGTAATCAAGTCCAAGTGTGCTCTGTGCAGGATATAATTAGCTTGATGCACAAGCTAGTGAAGTAAATGGACTTTTAATGATGTTCACAGTGTGCAAAAGAAAAGTAGCCAATACAAAAAAAAAAAAAAAAAAAAAAAAAAAGGCATTAAAACTGGAAGTCAAATAAAATTTCTTCTTGCTAATGACTTTTTGGCTTGTTTTCTCATTTCACCTCTGGATGTTTTTTTCTTGCTTTTTTCCTCCCACTCCCTTTGGTTGAATTATTCTTCATAGTTTCCAGGGACACAAACCTGTTGCAGGCACATACTTCCCTGACTATATGATCTTCCCACCCTATCACAAGCAGCGTCTCCTATGTTTCTTCACCAGAAACAGCCTTGTGATTCCTTCTCATACCCATTGCTGTGCCCCCTGGGCTGGCTGGTGTGGATGCTCCTGCGCAGAGCAGTGTTCAGGCTGAGTGATGGTCAAGAGATCTCCGATCTCCCTCCACTCACTGTGCAGGAAAGTTTTTTGATTTTCTGTCTTGCTTTTCTTTTGCAAGTTGAAAGACTCCTCTGGATCCCCCTGCCTTCTACTTCTGACTCCTTCTTTTCACTAAAGAGAAAGGTCAGACCTGAACTTCAAGATCCCTTTGCTTAGGAGCTGTCATTTTCGGAGGAGCTTGTCTGGCTTGAAATGACTTTGGTTCTAATGTGCATTTAATTTTTAGAAAGCACAAGTCTCACGCTAACCACGCACATCCAGTGGATGTTTATATTCAAAGGCCGCCCTTCTTCCACAATGTACAGAAAAAGGGAAATGAATCACAAAACACAACTTCTATGAGCTGGACAGACTGCAAGAGTCTCCCCATCTTGGATCAAAGGAACTTTTGGCTCTGAGTCCTGGATCCATCTGAACTGGTGGCAACCTTCCCACTGACTCCAGTGGCACTGAATTTGTCCCTTGGACGTTTATGTTGTTAAATGGAGCTAAAAGTTCCTGGGCAAGCCAGAAGAAGTGTCCCCACCAGCCCACAGGGTCATGGGGTCTGACTCTCACTTACTCAAACATGCAAAACAACACCATCAAAAGCTCATAAACAGCGGCTAAGGCTGGAGGTTAAAAGAAATATCTGCATGCCTCACAGAAATCCAAAAGCAGTTGTGCAACTGCAAGCCCATTAAGGCATGAGTCAGCCTGGCATTTGGAGGGAAAATACATCCCATGGTGGACAGATACAGTGGGTAGATGGACCACATGGCCCACTGCCATCCTCAAGTGTTGCTATTTTAGGTCCCTTATGGTGCATTATTTGCAAAAGTACCCCTTCTAACTGACTGTTGTGCTGTGAGGTGGGGTGTAACTTCGTGCAGGTTGGGTTTCTGCCCCGGACCTCATTATTTGTCCTGTTTTGCTCTCAGTTTTCCATTTTCCTTTCCTATGACTCCACTCCCATTTTTCTTAATGCTGACCTTTCTGAGCTGCGTTGTCCTCCCTGATCACACCTCCTAAATCCCAATGTTTGCAGTTACTCCCTTGCTCATAGTAGTAGAAAAGTACTTTGTTCGGGATCCTTCTGTCCCATTAAACAGAGGATTTATGGAACTCTGTTTAAGTGTGGCTTTCTTCTCACCCACTCCCAGACTCCAGGTCTTCTTCAGCTCTGTGTCAATATTGGTGCTTGGTTATTTGTATTATTAGTAGTAACGGGTCTGATATGTGCCTATATTTCTGTGTTTGTTTGTTTCCAGTTTAATCACTACTCTCACCTACCCAGTTTGATGAACATTTCCTTTGCTTACCTAACTAACATCATTGTTAAATGCTTTTTTCCTTAATACACTGAAGGAATATCAGTGTATTAAATGAGGCCACTGATGCTTTGAATGCAGTTTTTGGCTGGTCACCTTCTACTAACAGGTGAAGGCGGCATCCTATTACTTACCTAGTCCGGCAGCTGTAACCTCCCTGCAGGCTGTGACAACATCTACAGCAGTCAGCATCAGTATGTGGGAAAAGTACAATTTCGGCTCTAAAATTTTACACACTGTTGTTATGAACTGTGAAACTATGGCAGCTTTCCATCCAGAAACAGCTGGGCTTGTGTGTGGGTGAAGTAAGCGCTGTATTTTACATCTATGCTTGTCTTATCTACCATAAGGTAAGGATTTCTGGAAAGTGGATCAGTTGTTGCATGTTGCTGTCCTCACAATAACAGTGTCTTAGAAAACCATGAAATTATCACAAGTATCCCATCATCCATTTGCTTGTAGATTTTCAAACGTAGCTTGGCATTTCTCCTTGGAAAATTTGAGTTCTGCTAGGTGAACGAGCCATTCGGTTGTTAAAATATTCCCTTTTTACAGAGCATGATTGAATGTGCCTTGGATGCCAATCAGCGTGAAGAGAAAGAACAGACAAAACCCTAGGAGTGCAAAGAAGCTCCTTAGCTGCCATCCCCTTCCCTGCTCCCCTTAGGCAGTCAGCCTGGTGGGGAGCTGGTTTTTGTCTCCTAGCAGAAGAACTTGGGCATATGTGGTGCAAGACTAGAGAGAAGCAGTTTCCATCAGAAGCACGTTGCTTCTCACCTAAGAGCACGGCTGAACTCAGCAGAGACAGAAATGAAAAATGAAAGGTTAATATTCTGGCTCCGAGGCCCTTCTGGCAGACTAGAGATTGTCTTTGGATGTGTCACGAAAAGCTTTCAAGACGGACCCCAGAGCCAAACATTTCTGAAGTGACTAGCAGTTTTGGGAAACTCGGCTGTGACGTGCCCAGCTTGAGAAAGAGGAATCTGAATGCTCACCTTGTGAGAAATCAGGCCCCTGTGCAGGGCTGGGAGGAGGTAACTCAAACCCCACATCCAGTAACTCCCCACATACAAAAGCATTGAGTGAATTCTTCTCAAAATTGCCTTGTTTCATCCCAGTGAGACATCCCTGCAAGAAGATTCTCATTTCAACACGAACGCTTTGACCACATCAGTGTTTGAGATTTTTTTTTGCATTTCTGTTACTGAGGTCTGATGCCTTCAGCAAAATTGCTTACCATGGAAAATCGGTAGTTTTGTCACTTATATTATTTACACTGAGTTTTCTCATGGTGAGAGCTTAGATGTCCTCCTGCTGCTTCAGAAAGACCTGGTGGATCACAGCTAGGGGAGGACACAGTCTGCTTGAATTCAGGTTCATTGGGCAGATCTCAAAGTTGGCTCCACGTGGAAAAAACAATCCTCTTCTCCCCACAGGGCAAAGGAGTTGTGCATTGCAATCGGTGGGGTAAAAATAGCATAACTAGAGGAAAGCCTGTCCCAAAGAATCAGCCTTTTAAGGCTACGTTTTGATTTCATGTACACTAGCTCGGACCTGGAGTTATGTTGGAGATAATGGCTCTGCAGCTTCAAATTTGGATTTAAATGTAAAAGCAGATCCTAGCAGTAGGGAAGACAAACTGGTAAAGGAAATTATCAGCAAATTAAATGCATTGCAGTGAAGTTAAGTACTTAACTCAGACAAGAATCCTCTGCTACCATAAGGTCTTCAAGGCTTGTCCAACTCATATATAGGGGTGAGAACATGCAACTAAAATATAGGGGACTGAACCTCAGATTTGAAAACAATATTCCTCCTCCAGCTCATCCCTCCCTGTCTGTCCTGACCTGATGGAAAGCTAACTGCCTACAGAAAGTGAAACACTTTGTTAGGGGTGCATCACACCAATGGCTTAAATGCTCACTGACCTTGCAAACAGCCTGAACTGATAGCCCAGTTTTCAGATGAGGTGGTGGCAAGGTTCTCCACATGTCCATGAGTCACTCAGCTGACCTCAAGAGGCCATAGCCCTACCTGTCCTTTCCAATGTATCTCAGCTCTGCCAGGTCTTGGCAGGTTTGCTTATACTTTCTGGCAGAAATTTAGGCACCTGCTGTGTCAGGTGGCAGCTGACATGAGTGCGGAGCACCTCAGCAGAGCCTGTGTGCTGAACTCAGGCACATAATCATCTGGCCACGTCCCCAAGCCCTTTCTGGAATTCAGTCCCTTCGTTTCCCTGAAATGCTGCTCTGAGTTCAGACTTGCAAAGAGACAGAGCTCAGGTTCAGATGATGACAAACCAGGGAGTTCCTGCTGCAGCACCTCTTCTCCAAGCACCTCGGTCCAGAGTTATCTGGCATGCTGATGTGCAAGATGCACACCTCAGACTCTTTGTGATCTGCACAGCATTGTACAAGCTAATTATATCTGTTTCATGGAAGAGCAGCCCTTCCAGCAGCTCACCCAGACAGGGGTAGCTGCATTTGTCAGTTCAGGGGAAATTTTGATTATTGAGTCCATGTGGATGGACTGGGGCAATAGCGACCCAGCTGCTGCAGTAACCCACAGCTCCAGACTTTGGCTGCATCCCACTTCTACTACAGTCTCAACACTCAGCCTTCTCAGGCCTTTTTTCACCCCCAGACATTGGCAGCAGAGCAATGGAAAACAGAAAATGTTTAACATGTAGGAGTGTTTACTCTTGTCATGACACAATTTGGGATTTTCCATTAAAGCTTGAAAAACAAACCCTAAACATAATTTATTAGGAAAATAGTAGCTATGAGGTAAACTTATGTCAACGAATGCCAAGAGGTCAAACAGACGACACATGATATTTTGGTTGAATATTCTGTGTGTTACTAGAAGCAGTGCGAAAGCTGGCTCATGAAGTATTTGCTGGAGCGTTATGGTGGCTGGGGAATAGGGCAAGTCCAGAAAGTTCCTGAAAGCAAAGCCTTATTCTGCTTTGCTGCGACAGAGCCTTTTTCTTCAAGCACCAAACCCAAGTGCTCCAGATGCCAAGGTTGGCACGTGGCAGGGGATGCCAGCACCCCTGTGGCCACGTTGCCCACAGGAGCCAGAGGATGCAGGGCAGGATAGTCAAAATACATATCGACCTCAACAATCACAAACCTATATGATGCATCTCACCCATTTTTACAAGTTTAACCTCGTTTTTAACTCCATGTACTGTGAGTTTAAGAAGAGTTTTGCATGAGATGAAATTAATGATGAATATCACAAAATTACATCATGACTTTTTTTTGTCAGTGGCTGGAGACTAGGTAAATCCTACATTGTCAGAGCT